GACTTATGGCTTCTGAGACCATTTCAGGCCACAATTCTCATCAAAGTTCCCTTGACATAGATGACAGATAACTAAGAAAGTAGCTGCTCTAACACGAACAGTCCAGGAGGAGAAAGTGGGGGCCCTGCCTGGGGCTGTGGCAACTTAGCTGCTCAGCTGGGCCGCTCTATCTCTGGGCCTTCCTGCCAAAATCCGACCCTGGGAACAAAGGGATACTTCAGCCCCTTCTTACTCTTTAAACACAATGGCTGTGGGAGAGGGAGAAGCTCAAGGCCAGGGCTCAGCTCCCAACCTCCTTCTGCTCCCATAGCTGCCGCATTTGGAGGGGCACGTACTGAATGTCCTTGCTGTCCCCAGGGCAGTCTTGAAGCCAGACTGAAGCCTGCTATGCTGCTTGCTGGCTGCCAAGGACTGACTGGTCACAAGGATCGGGAAAGTGGCAAGAGTGGCACCCAGGTCTAGAAAAGTTTGGGACAAAGAAGCGGGGCTGGGAACAAATTGGTTAACTTTGCCACTCACTGTGGTGCTTTTCCCCTTTCCCTTAAATTCTGCTTTGAAAAGAATAAATTTGTATTTGTTTACTTTATTTCCTCTGGTTATACTGACTCTGACCCTCCACATCTTTCCCTTATTTGGGTGTGGGAGAAGAGGGTGGGGCCAAGAAGCCACAGGAGTACTGCAAAACAGAGGCAACCAGATGAGTCCAACACCTGCAGGACAACAGAGACACGCCCACTAACCCCATCCACCGCTGTTACCTGGAGTGGTTGCCTCTCAAGGCCTCACACAAATTAGCTACTTATCTGCTCATGGGATGAGCTCTTTATAGCAATGCTTCTTCAATACCATCCTCATCAATCTGAGGAATTCTTCACCAGCCTAAAGCAATATGAGAAAAATCTGGACAGTGCAGTGAGTTTCCATAGAGTTATATTTACTCAATTTAAAAGTATACCCCTTACTCTGAGATTATGGCTATATCGTTTGAGAGGAGTGTGTGTCTTAAAATGTCCCTGTGAATTGATGGTGATAGTTTTTTAAAATGCCATTTTTCTGGCAAAGTAAAACCCTGTCTGTCCCTCTTCCCCACCACCAGTTTTTCTTTTCTCACTCATCTACAACAGTGCTGTCTGATAGAAATATAATGTGAATTAAAATTCCACAAATGATAAATGCTAAAAAGGATGTGGTGGAAAGGGAACCCTCCTACACTGTTAGTGGGAATGTAGTGTGGTGCAGCCATTATGGAAAACAGTATGGGGGTGGTCCTCAAAAAAATAAAAATAGACTTACTTACCGTATGATCCAGCAATCCCACTCTTGGGCATATATTCAGAGGAAACTCTAATTTGAAGAGATATATACACCCCAATGTTCATATCAGCAATATTTACAATAGCCAAGACATGGAAACAACCTAAATGTCCATCGACAGATGACTGGATAAAGAAGTTGTGGTGTATTTATACAATGGAATACTACTTAGCCATAAAAAAGAATAAAATAATGCCATTTGCAGCAACATGGATGGCCCTGGAGAATGTCATTCTAAGTGAAATAAGCCAGAAAGAGAAAGAAAAATACCTTATGATATCACTCATATGTAGAATCTAAGGAGAAAAAAGACACAAATGAACTTATTTACAAAACAGAAACAGACTCACAGACATAGAAAACGAACTTATGGTTACCAAGGGGAAAGGAAGAGGGAAGGGATAACTTGGAGTTCCAGATTTACAGATACCAACTACTATATATAATATAGATAAATAATAAGTTTCTTCTGCATAGCACAGGGAACTATATTCAATATCTTGTAGTCACCTATAATGAAAAAGAATATGAAAACGAATATATGTATGTATATGTATGACTGAAACATTATGCTGTACACCAGAAACTGACACAACATTGTAAACTGACTATACTTCAATTAAAAAAAATAATAAAAGAAATATAACGTGAGCCACTTAAGCAATTTAAAATTTTCCAGCAGCCATATTAAAAAGGTAAAAAATGAACAGGCAAAATTAATTTTAATATTTCACTTAACCCAATATATCCAAAATACTATCATTTCAACATGTAATCAGTATAAAACCATTATTGAGACATTTTATATTCTTTATTTTTTACTAAATTTTAGAAATTGTCAAACGGGCTGACAGATTCAGTTGGTAAAGAAACAAAGAACCCACATAGATCCACTTTATTTCTTATAGAGACAGCAAAAGCAAGACCAGCAATGGTATCCATTCCCTGTGTCCCTGTCCCACAGGATGACACTGGAATAAAAGGGGCCAGGTGACATGCGACATGAATGGCAGGACACCGTATTGCTGAGTACCAATTCCACACCACTAAACAACTTCATGGCCTCCAGCTTTACCCTTTAGGCAGGGTGGGAAGGGGTGGGTGGGAGTTGAGGAGGGGTGGGGTTGGGGGAGGGGTGGTTGGTGGGAGGAGGTGGGGGTGGAGGGTGGGT